ACCCTCTCAGAAGCCATTGGTCCAGCACTGGGTCACGGCACGCCCGAACCTGTCACTGCAGAGGGGAACAGAATTCCCTGCGCCATTCCAGGTGTGCCATAGCTCTCACGTGGACAGAAGCTGGGTCTTACTGGTAGCACAGTGGAAGGAGGTATGCCTGTGGGCTAGACATCCATCAGTGTCTGCCAAAATGTCCGCCTTAGAGTAAAAGATAGGTTTTAGAAGGTGATGACCCATTTTGGATCCACTGAGACTAAAACAACACAGCCAGGGTTCTTTGTGGCAGCAGATCATTGTAGGGGCATTCTCAAAGGCCCCTCCATGTCCGTGCCTCTGCGTGAGTCTCGTGTACATAGCGGGAGAGCTTACTAGCAGGAAGGATGGCATCACTGGAGTCTTGCTGGATGGTACTTCCAATCTCAGCAAAATACCCCAAAGGAAAAAAAAAAAATATTTGTGGGTTTTTTTCTTTTTGAAAAGTAGGCGGTTGCTCAAATTATTTTTGTTAACTAGTCTGAAAGTGCTAGAATTGATGTATTATACTTTGAAGGTCAAGGAAGCACTCACCTGCATGTGGTTGAATAATGAAGGGATATATATATATATATATATATTGGAATTCTTACTACTACCTAAGATGGGCTTTTAAATAAAGACTACTTCTCTGGATTAGGGGTCTTTGACATATAGACTGAAATTATAACTGCCTTTATATGATTTGGAAGAGAACAGGTCCATCCCAGCACCCTGACTACACCAAACTTCCATTTACCCTGAATCAAATCTTATCCCAAAATGTCTGAGCCAGCTATCTGTCTGATGTGACCCTGACACCTACCCCGACCCACATGCAAGAATCATGTGAGAGACAAAAATAACTCTGTCCTGTTGCCTGTGGCAGCAGTTGAGAGGGAGCTAGCTCAAAGCTAATTGGGCTGTGGAGAAGCATGAAAACTTAAAATGGTCACAGTGAACTCTGTCTTGGACGGCCTTTGCCTCTGAGGAATCTTCCTCTTGATTGGCACTATGACTTTAAAGAACAGAAATCCTCTTACTAAAGAGGCACGTCCTCCTAAGAAATTTAGAAACTGGTAAATAAAAGAATATTTCTTTGCTTTTCACCATAGGCTCATTGGCAGGATCACCTTACATAGAATTCTCTAAAGTAGATCCCCTAAATATTGGTATAAAACTTAAAGACACTGAGACAGACAAAGCTGTTGTTAATTTCTACAACTTGAAGCTTAATTAGAAGTGAAAATAAATGCCACTAAAATTTCTTTGTACAGATGGCAGCATTATTTAAATTACACAAGACTTTATAAGAAGGCATCTATTTTATTTTTTGAAGATTTTACTTATTTACTAGAGAGAGAGCGTGAGCGGGGTGAAGGGCAGAAGGAGCAGCAGGCTGAGCAGGGAGCCCTGGGGCTCCATGTCATGACCCAAGCCGAAGGCGGATGCTCAACTGACTGAGCCACCCAGGCGCCCCAGAATGCATCTATTTTATATATATGCATATTTTTAAAGATTTTATTTATTTATTTGACAGAGATACACAGTGAGAGAGGGAACACAAGCAGCGGGAGTGGGAGAGGGAGAAGCAGGCTTCCCGCCGAGCAGGGAGCCCGATGCGGGGCTCAATCCCAGGACCCTGGGATCATGACCTGAGCCGAAGGCAGACGCTTAATGACTGAGCCACCCAGGTGCCCCCAGAATGCATCTATTTTATAAAGAAAAATGCTTTTATGCTTTTCCCAACTGCCTCTGTTAGAGTAAATCATAGGTATATGTTGATGTTGAATGCAGAAAACACCATTATTAAACAAAAGTTTTAAATTATATTGAGCTGTCATAATATTAAGTTAATTGTGCCCTTAAAAATTGGAGATTGGGGCGCCTGGGTAGCTCAGGCAGTTAAGCGTCTGACTCTTGATTTTGGCTCAGGTCGTGATCTCAGGGTCATGAGATCGAGCCCTGTGTCAGGCTCTGAGCTTAGTGCGGAGTCTGGTTGTCCCTTGTCCCTCTCCTCCTGCTCCTCCCCCCCCCACCCCCATGAGTACACACTCTCTCAAATAAATAAATAAAATCTTTTTTAAAAAAAATTGGAGATCAATTTCTTTTCTAAACTTTTGGTTTCTTTAAGAAAAAAAAATTAATTGAACAGTTAAAACTGCTAAAGAGAACTCTTTCTCTACTTTGCAGAAGAGAAATGTGAGTGATAGCCTCTATGAACCTCTGTGAATCTCCTTACCTCCCTCCCTCCCCACCAACCTGACAGCCCTGCTCCTAGGCCCTGTCGGTGGGGACCACAGGCCAGAGCACAGGTGCCACATCTCAGGAGGTGATCTGAGTGTTCAGGCTGCCAAGGTCAGGGTACAGAATTGGTTTTCTAGTCCAGGCTGACCTGCCAGCTCATCCTGCTTGTTCAGGCAGCTACATTGGTTAATTCACCAAGTATAATCTAACTAGTCTTAGCTGGCCATGGAGTGTAGTTATCTCTAAAAATGTAGAGAATCAATTTAGGGGCCTGGCTGGCTTGGTCAGTGGACTGTGTGGCTCTTGATCTTGGGGTCATGAATTCAAGCCCCACATTGGGTGTAGAGATTACTTAAAAAAAATAAATTCAAAAAAAATTTTTTTAAATACAGAGGATCAGTTGGGGCACCTGGGTGGCTCAGTCATTAAGCGTCTGCCTTCGGCTCAGGTCATGATCCCAGGGTCCTGGGATCAAGCCCTGCATCAGGCTCCAGGGAGCCTGGTTCTCCCACTCCCCCTCCCCCTGCTTGTGTTCCTTCTCTCGCTGGGTCTCTCTCTGTCAAATAAATAAATAAAATCTTTAAAAAATAAATATAGAGAATCAGTTTATTTTTTTTTTTTAAGATTTTATTTATTTATTTGACAGAGAGAGAGACAGCGAGAGAGGGAACACAAGCAGGGGCAGAGGGAGAGGGAGAAGCAGACTCTTCACTGAGCAGGCAGCCCGATGCGGGCTCTATCCTAGGACCCTGGGATCATGACCCGAGCCAAAGGCAGACGCTTAACGACTGAGCCACCCAGGTGCCCCAAGAATCAGTTTAAATAAGAAAAGGTAAACATTTCCATTTGAGTAGACCCAAAAGCCCCATGAGGGAAAGAATGGATGGGAAATGAACAGGCATGTTGGCAAGAGAAAGGAAAAGAATTCTTGGACAGATAATTATCAAAAATTAATTTCAAAATATAGCTCACCTAGGAGTCTAGGCCTATAAATCAACCTTTATTTTAAATATCTCTAAAGAACTTTTAGAGTACTTATTTTAAAATTGTGTTCGGGCGCCTGGGTGGCTCAGTTGTTAAGCGTCTGCCTTCGGCTCAGGTCATGATCCCAGGGTCCTGGGATCGAGTCCCACATCGGGCTCCCTCCTCGACGGGAAGCCTGCTTCTCCCTCTCCCACTCCCGCTGCTTGTGTTCCTGCTCTCGCTATCTCTGTCTCTGTCAAATAAATAAATAAAATCTTTTTAAAAAATAAATAAATAAAAATAAAATTGTGTTCATTCTGTATAAACTTAATGAGTACCTATTGTCTTTAGAAAGTATTTTTGTCTTAATTTTTAGTTTATTACAAATTTAGTTATTACAGATTACATGGCAGTGGTAATAGAAAACAAGTTACAGCATTTCCCAGGCATTTTCAGAAAATCATCCTTCCCTCGCCTCTCCCCACTTCTAGCAGGGACAGATATAAAATATAAAAAGCAAAAGCTAAAAAGACACAGCTGGACCCAAAGCAAGGTGGGTGGCATCTCCATAGATCAGAAACAGGGTAGAACTGCTGAATGTCATGGGAAGGCCGCTGCCTGCCCAGCCTTGTGTGGCTAGTGTTCGGACCCTTGGAGTAGCGGGAGCCCAGGTTCCCAGTGGAAAGGATACCAGGGGCTGAGACTTTTAGAAAGATGTGGGCTTAGGTAAGGAGAGGGCACAGATGCAGTGCACAATAAAAGATGGAGCCAAACCACCCCCTGATTCCATGGCTCTGCCTGCAGTATTCTCTGTATCACCTTGGTGGGAGCCTCACAAGTAAGCCCTTCACCAACTGGAACATGAATTTACTTCAGATGAAATGAATTTTATAGCATGGCCTGACAAGGAACTTAAATATGTTCAAGATGTTCAAAAGTAAATGAAGGAATAACTTTTAATTTAAAAGAACAAAAAATCATGGAAACAAGGCATACATAATGGAAACAGATATGTGAAGAACAGGTAGAAATGAAAAATGTCAAATGACTAGAGATGGGATAGCCCTAGTTTTGGTAGGCTGAAAAGAAAATCAATTGGAATAAACTGAAAAATGTGCCTGTGATTCATCAGAAAGACACAGATCTAAAAAAAAAAAAAATACTAAAGGACTGATGGGAGATACGGAGTATATGCTTGAAGGTCTAACCACTGTATGAAGTTGTCTCTTCCCAGTCACTCTCTGTCCATCACATCATTCTGTGCATCTCTGTCAATACTTGTCACCACGTTTATGTACTTGTTAACGTATGCCTTCCTGAGCTGCTTCTACAAGGTGCTGAGCTCTGTTTTGGGCATACTGTATACAGAAAAGCCAAGAACGAGTCAGATAAGGATCTTGCTTTCTTGGATCTTGTGTTCTAGCCTATCCATCACTATACCTCTGACACATATTAGGCAGTGTATTTGTTGAATGAATGAATGAATGAGTGAATGAAGTAATTAATACCTCAAAATATCTTCTGTGTGGCTTCATGGCCTTGATTACCTGCTATGTTTGGCCGGCATTGCAGGAGTGAGAGAGACGGAGAGGAGATGAGAGAAATCCTCCTTCCCCAGAGCACACTCTGCTGTTACCAGTCTGTGATACTCAGGAAATAGTGGTGTGACCTCCTTAGACCTAGAGTCCTCCTAAGGTGTTCCTCTTGGGTTGTGATTGATAATGAGACCAGCAATATAAACAATATTAATGCGCTAATTTTTCTTCTTCACTTTTCAGGCTGGAGTAAAAGGGACATTGGGAAGATTAGTTGGAATTTTTGAGGTAAGCCTGTTAAAATCTTCGGTGCAATTGGAATCATATTAGTAACCATGTAATATAAATATGTATATCTTTGTCTGAGTCCTTTCGAGCTGCTATAACAAAACTGAGTGGCTTATAAACAATAGAAATGGATTTCTCACAGTTCTGGAGACTAGGAAGTCCAAGATCAAGGCACCAGCAGATTCAGTGTCTCGTGAGGACCCACTTCCTGGTTCATAGTTACCAGTTTCTCCTGCTACCCAAAAGTAGAGTGTTTGTAGGAAACCTTTTTTTTTTTTTTAAAGATTTATTTATTTATTTGAGAGAGCGAGAATGAGAGAGAGTACATGAGAGGGGGGAGGGTCAGAGGGAGAAGCAGGCTCCTTGCTGAGCAGGGAGCCCGATGCGGGACTCGATCCCGGGACTCCAGGATCATGACCTGAGCCGAAAGCAGTTGCTTAACCAACTGAGCCACCCAGGCGCCCTGTAGGAAACCTTTTGTAAGTCAAAATGGTAGAAAGTGAAGAAGCAATTAATTTATGTGGACATTTTTTTTAGCATTTCCAAAACCAAAAAATAACCTCTCTCAGGCTTTTCGGAAACCTCAGGATACATGTTGTTAACGGATGCATGAAATAAGTCAGGCTAAAGCACAGGTGTGCAGAGCCCCAGTTCATGGCTTTGGCGGCTGGATGAGGAAGTGCTGGTGTAGTTCCCGGGGAAGGAGTCTGGCCGGAGCGCACCTGCTGCTCCACGCGAGCTCTGCCTCTGTGATGGCTTGCTGCGCCAGAAATGCCCAAGGCTCCTTCTCCCTTCACTTTTTTTTTTTTTTTAGAAACGCAAGTTCCTCTTAGGATTTCTTTCGGTTAGCAAAAACAGGTACTGATGTAGGTCTTTCGTAAAAGTGAAGTGGCTTACCTAGAGCTCTTGAAAAGCAAGGGGTACTTGTAGCTGTTTCTCTCTGTGTTCTCACATGGCAAAGGGGGATGGTCGCTCACTGGGGCCTTTCTTATCAGCTGCCAACCCCATTCCCAAGAGTCAGCCCTTCTCAACCCAATCAGCTGCCAGAGGCCCCACCTCCTAATACTATCCCACTGGGAGTTAGGATTTCAACATCCGAATTGTGGGGGGCATAAACATTCAGTCCATTGCGGTCCTAATCTGGGGTAGACGCCATCTTTGTTTCGCTGCGTTTTCAAAACAAAGCAGCGCTGGCAGAGAATAGCTTACTTTCTTTTTTAAAGTCCCATAGTCTCCTCCAGACAAATAGAATTATTTGTAAGTACAGGCATTACCTCAGAGATATTGTGAGTGCAGTTCCAGACCACTGCAATAGAGCAAATATTGCAATAAAGCTAGTCAAATGTTTCTTTGATTTTTGTCAGTGCATATGAAAGTTATATTTATACTGTATTGTAGTCTCTGAATATATACTTACGATGTCTGTATTAATGTCTATGCCTTAATTTAAAAATGCTTTATTGCTAAAAAACGCTAACCATCATGAGCCTTTTGCTGGTGGAGGGTATTGCCTCCGTGTTGATGGCTGCTGACTGAGCAGGGTCATGGTTGCTGAGAATTGGGGTGGCTGTGGCAATTTCTTAAAATAAGAAGGTTTGCTGCCCTGATCGACTCTCCCTTTCATGAACAGTTTTTCTGTAGCAAACGATGTTGTTTGATAGCATTTTACCCATAGTACAACTTCTTTCAAAATTGGGAGTCCATCCTCTCAAACCTTACCACTGCTTTATCAGCTACGATTATGGAGTATTCTAAATCTTCTATTGTCACTTCAACAGTCTTCACAGAATCTTCACCAGGGGTAGACTCCATCTCAAGAAACCACTTTCTGTCCTCATCCGTAAGAAGCAGCTCCTCATTTCTTCAGGTTTTATCATGAGATTGCAGCAATTCAGTCCCATCTTCAGGCTCCACTTCTTTTTCTTTTTCTTTCTTTCTTTTTCTTTCTTTCTTTCTTTTTCTTTTTGTTTCTTTTCTTCTCTTTTCTTTTTCTTTTTTTTTTTTTTAAAGATTTTATTTATTTATTTTGAGAGAGAGAGAATGAGAGACAGAGAGTATGAGAGGGAGGAGGGTCAGAGGGAGAAGCAGACTCCCTGCCGAGCAGGGAGCCCGATGCGGGACTCGATCCCGGGACTCCAGGATCATGACCTGAGCCGAAGGCAGTCGCTTAACCAACTGAGCCACCCAGGCGCCCTTTTCTTTTTCTTTCATAGCACAAGCACAGGGCGGGTGGAGGGAGAGACAGAGAAGGAGAGAATTTTAAGCAGACTCTGGGCTGAGCATGGAGCCCGGTGCAGGGCTCAATCTCACGACCCTGAGATCATGACCCGAGCCGAAACCAAGAGTTGGGTGCTTAACTGACTGCAGGTTCCACTGATTCTACTTCTCTTGCTATTTCTACCACATCTGCAGTTTCTTCCTCCACCAAGTCTTGAATCCCTCAAAGTCCTTCACAAGGGTTGGAGTCAACTTCTTCCAAACTCCTGTTCATGTTGATATTCTTTACCTTTTTCCATAAATCACCACTATTCTTAATGGCATCTAGAATGGCAAATCCTTTCCAAAAGGGTTTCAGTGGACTTTGCCCAGATCCGTCAGAGGAATTGCTATCTCTGGCAGCTGTAGCCTTATGAAGTGCATTTCTTAAATAGTAAGACTTGCAAGTTGGAATGACTCCTTGATCCATGGTCTGTGGAATGGCCCTTGTGTTAGCAGCATGAAAACATTCATCTCGTTGTCCATCTCCATCAGAGCTCTGGGGTGACAAGGGACACTGTCAATGCACAGTCATATTTTGAAAGGAATCTTTTCTTCTGAGCAGTAGATCTCAACAGTGGGCTTTAAATATTCAGTAAACCATGTTGGAAACAGATGTGCTGTCATCCCCATTTATAAGAGCACAGGCAGAGTCAATTTAGCTTTATTCTTGAGGACCCTAGGATTTTTGGAATGGTCATTGAGCACTGGCTTCAACTTCTAAGTCACCAGCTGCCCCTAACCAGAGAGTCACTCTGTCCTTTGAAGCTTGGAAGCCAGGCACTGACCTCTCTAACTATGAAAGTCCTAGATGGCATCTTCTTCCGATAGAAGGCTGTTTCATCTTACACTGAAAATCTGTTGTTTCATGTAGCCCCTGCCACGGGTGATCTGAGCTAGATCTCCTGGAGAACTCGCTGCAGCTTCTCCACCAGCACCTGCTGCTCCTTCTTGTACTTTTGTGTTATGGAGAAGGCTTCTTTCCTTAACCCTCATGAACCCACCTCTGCTCGCTTCACACTTTTCTCCTGCGACTTCCCCACCTCTCTCAGCCTTCATAGAATTGAAGAGAGCGAGGGCCTTGCTCTGGGACAGGCTCTGGCTTAAGGGAAGGTTGTGACTGGCTTGATCTTCTATCCAGACCACTCAAACGTTCTCCATATCAGCAGTAAGGCTGTTTCGCTTTCTTGTCATGCATGCGTTCACTGGAGTAGAACTTTCAATTGCCTTCAAGAACTTTTCCTTTGCATTCACAAATTGGCTAACTGGTTCGAGAGGCCTAGCTTTCAACCTGTCTTGGCTTTTCAGCATGCCTTCCTCACTAAGCTTAATCATTGCTAGCTTTTGATTTAAAGGGAGAGTAGGAGATGTGCAACTCTTTCCCTCACTTGAACATTTAGAGGCCACTGTAGGGTTATTAATTGGCCTAATCTTTTTTTATAAGTTTTTTTTTAAGATTTATTTATTTGAGAGAGAGAGAGAGGAGCACGAGCAGGGGGAGCAGCAGAGGGAGAGGGAGAAGCAGACTCCCTGCCAAGCAGGGAGCCCAAAGCGGGACTTGATCCTAGGACCCTGAGACTGCAACCTAGCCAAAGGCAGACGCTTAACCAACTGAGCTACACAAGCGCCCTGTGTTGGCATAATCTTTTTTTTTTTAATATATATTTTTTTAAGATTTTATTTATTTATTCATGAGAGACAGAGAGAGAAAGAAGCAGAGGGAGAAGCAGACTCTCAAGGAGCAGGGAGCCCGATGCAGGACTCATTCCCAGGACCCTGGGATCGTGACCTGAGCTGAAGGCAGATGCTTAACCATCTGAGCCACCCAGGCGCCCTGCGTTGGCCTAATCTTAATTTTGTTGTGTCTCAGGGAATAGGGAGAATGACAGCGAGAGACGGGAATGGCTGGTCAGTGGAATTTATTGATTAAGTTTGCTGTCTTATATGGGCGTCCTTTGTGGCACCCTAAAACAATTACAATAGTAACATCAACAGGGGCGCCTGGGTGGCTCAGTCATTAAGCGTAGAGGCTGGGTAGAGGTTTGGAGGAAGGTGGAAGGAAGTGAGAAATGGGGAAATAAAGATGAGGAAAGTTAGTAGAAGGGGAGATGCACCCGATAATCAGCTTGCTGGCATTGATGGAACCTCCACCCACCCACAGCCTCTTCTCTTTCTTGTGTTCTAGCGAGTTACATTTACTTGGTGCCTTTTTCTTGAGAGGTCACAAACTTCCTTCTCACAGCCTTCCTGTGAAGTTGTATTTAGGGAAAGGGGAACGAAAAAAGAGATTAAAGTTTGGGCTTTAGAAGGCCAGCCAAAGACCACAACCTTAAATGCAAATGTGGCATGTTTTAAATAGGCCATCTGGCGCTATTCCATGTATGATTGTAGGATGATTAAAAGTAAAAGGAATGCTTGTGTCTGAGCTCTCTGGACATATGGCTAAGAGTGTGTTTCACTCAAGTAATCTCAGCTCTTTAAGGGAAAGCTCTTCCTCTGTCCTTCTCTCTTTGCCCTTCAGAACCAGGAGAGGAAGCACAGAACGTATGTCTATGTGCTCATTGTCACAGAAGTGCTGGAAGACTGGGAAGATTCAGTTAACATTGGTAAGTTGTCCCCAGATAGCCTCCAAAATGCTCCCCACCACGGGCCCTTGCCATGCCACAGGTCATGACCCAGACCCAGAAACGAGCCTGATGAAAGAAACCATAGAAGGGTATGTTTAATGAAACAAGCATGTCCATTTTGAACTTCTGAAAGTAGTGTTTTGAAATGTTCAAAAGGAAGCTGAAGGTGGATACCTGGTCAACAAATAGAAACATGCAGATAAAAATAAGAAAGGTGGTTTCTGAAGCTGAATTGGACCCTCCACAGCAGATACTGACCCTCCTCCACAATGGCCACGAAACCCCAGCTGGGAGCAGGACCTTGGCTGTTTCTTGTGATGCTTATTCATATTGTTGGAGAAAGCTGCTGGTTTGGTGGGGTGAGCTGCTCCCTCCAGAGTAGTGGGAGCAGTTTCCAGTTACAGCCATACTCCCCTTCGGGTGCCCCTCCCTTTCTCCTGAGGAGCCATTCTCTTTGATCTCTCAGATCACTGTTGGGTGTGTGTCTTTGGAACTAAAAACTTAGGTGATTTAATGCTCGGTTCCTGGTTTAATCTTTTGCCTCTGAAGGAAAGTATATTCTAGAAAAGTGTAATATTTAAAAACCAGTTATAAATCGGCAAACAGATAAAATCCAATTGCTGAAATGTCTCCCTCTATTGTGCGTATGTGCTTTGTCACCATGCCCCTCACACTGCTGGTCTGAGCATTTCATGGCCCTTCGGCTTTTAACGGCCTTGTATGTGGTAAGAATGCAATATGCTTAAGTAAATAAATTCAGTAGGGGTTTATTAAAAATAGCCTCCTTGACAGCCAGTGCTAGGGCTTAAAAAGGAGACACAGATGAGTGTGGCATGGCCCTGTCCTCAGAGCACTCTGTCAGGCAGGAGTCACACACTTGTGATACGAATTTTCAAGGTACCATTGCTCTATTAATATCCAACAAGCCTTTCACCTTCTACTACTTCCGAGAATTGAAATATTGAAATAATCTAAAATACGGAGAATAAGCCTATGAGCCTTCCTTCAGATGAGCCTCTTTCAGGTGGAAATTGGCTTTTAAACGTATGCCTCAGTGAAGGATAAGTGATCTGAGGTACATTCATCTGACAGAATGTTGCACAGCTGTTAAACACGGACTTCTGAAAGCTAATATAGCATGGCAAAGGGCTTGTGAATCGGTGTTGGTGAATGAAAAAAGCAGCGTACAGACTTACATGTACGGTTAGAGCGACGTTAAAATAGGAATTTGAAATGAAAACAAAAATGAGGTACTCGTTTTCACCTAAAGAATTGGCAATGACAGAGGAAAAGGTAGCAGTGCTGACGGGGAGGGTAGTGAGAACGACATTCCAGCACACACAAGCAGGACTGGGGATTGGGATGGCCCTTCTGAAAAGCAGTTTGGCATTATATAACACGAGACCTTTAGAGTTCAAATGTTTTATTCCTATAATCTCAGTTCTAGGCCTCTTCTGGGAAGTTAAAAGAAAGAATAAAACAGATAAAGGTTTTTGGTTGTTTTTTTGTGTGTTTTTTTGAAGAGCAAAAGTGCTGGTGGTGTGGGGGGGAGAAGGGAGGAAAGAAAATCCTAAGGAGGCTCCATACCCAGCACAGAGCCCAGACGCAGGGCGCGATCTCACAACCCTGAGATCGTGACCTGAGCTAAAATCAAGATTCAGACGCTCTACCGCCTGAGCCATCCAAGCACCCTGCATATTTTTTTATAACACAGACAAGCGCTTAAGAAACAATGTGAAGTAAAAAAAGAAGCAATAATAATAATACTAATAAGCAAACTCTTACAGCATATACTATGTGCCAGGTATCATTCAAATATCTTACGTATTAATCCTCACAGCAGACTTGTGAGATAGGTACTATTTATTATCTCTACAGATGAGGAAGGTGGGGCACAGCTCAGTACCTAGTTAGTAACCTGCCCCAAACTGACCATTCATTAGAGCCAGTGATGAGATTGGAGCCTAGCATGTTAGCTCCAGCATCCGAAAGCATGATCCCAGTGATAGTTGTTCAGTGCAGTGTCTTTTTCAGATACGATGAAAGAAAAGCAAAGACATGAAGGTATTGAGAGTAGTCATTTCTGGTTTCTTATGTTGTGGGTAATTATATTCTTTATACTTTCTTCCATTTTCCTAATGTTAAGCAATGATCTTTTATTATAAGAGAAAAAATAAAGGATTTTTAAAAAACTGAAAAACAAGTAAGAAAACAGGCTGAGAAGTTAATAGGGATGGTGTTATTTTTATTATTTTTATTTTTTATTTTTTATTTTTTAAAGATTTTATTTATTTATTTGACAGAGAGAGGCACAGCGAGAGAGGGAACACAAGCAGGGGGAGTGGGAGATGGAGAAGCAGGCTTCCCGCCGAGCAGGGAGCCTGATGTGGGGCTCGATCCCAGGACCCTGAGATCATGACCTGAGCCAAAGGCAGACACTTAACGACTGAGCCACCCAGGCGCCCAGGATGGTGTTATTTTTAAAAATATTTTGTATCTGTGGGGCGCCTGGGTGGCTCAGTTGGTTGGGCGGCTGCCTTCAGCTCAGGTCATGATCCTGGAGTCCCTGGATCGAGTCCCGCATCGGGCTCCCTGCTCGGCAGGGAGTCGGCTTCTCCCTCTGACCCTCCCCCGCCTCATGTGCTCTCTCTCTCTCTCAAATAAATAAATAAATAAATAAATAAATAAATAAATAAATCTTTAAAAAAAATATTTTGTATCTGTGGATATATAACTCTTAAAATTCTGAAATAAATGATTATAAGGCAGCCATCCTCGTAATTCTGGAAGCCGACGCTCGTGTTGATTTGTGCAGAAGAGGGGTTGCTGGCTGGGCTTCAGGTGTATACTTGCCCAGAGGCCCGGGAACGCAAGAGGAGACCAGGAGCACTGGTTCTCTCTGGAGGGCGGATTTCACACGATTCACTTCTCAGATGTCTTCCCTATCTCCTGCATCGGACATCTGTATGGCATTTGGAGCATATACTCTTGTAAGGAAAGAAAGTGAGGAAAAATACCTTTATGATGCACGGTTTTAAAGTCTTGATAACGGTTGCTTTTCTGTTTTCATCAACCCTTTCTTCCAAGTTGAAGATCAGAAACCTGCGGCTGCTTCCCTTTTGTCCTCATTTCTTCTTCTCTCTGCCCCCACAGGAAGGAAGAGGGAATGGTTTAAAATAGAAGATGCCATAAAAGTGCTGCAGTATCACAAACCAGTGCAGGCGTCGTATTTTGAAACGTTGAGGCAAGGCTACTCAGCCAACAATGGCACCCCAGTCGTGGCCACCACGTACTCGGTTTCTTCCCAGAGCTCGATGCCAGGCATCAGATGACTGAAGACTTCGCATAAGAGGAATGGAAATTGGAAACTAGACTGGAGTGCAGATCTTCCCTCCCTTGCTCTTTTCACCTCTCCTCACAGGCCTCCTCTCCAAATAAGGCATGATGGGCAGCAGAGAAAGGGGTTCTTGATGGTGTTGCTGTTTGGTGTTAAGTGATGGGCTTTTTCTTCTCTTTTTATGGAGGGGGTGGGGGGTGGGTATGTAATTTGTAAGTACTTTTGTGCATGATCGGTCCCTCCCTTTTCACACCCCTGCAGTTGTCTAGAGAGACAGACAGCCTTCCCTCTGCCTTGGATTCTGAAGTGTTCCTGTTTGTCTCACCCCAGCCCTGGCCAGACGTTTTTCCTTTGATTTTTAAATTTTTTTTTTTTTATTAAAAGATACCAATATGAGATGAAACCTTTCAAGAATTTGTCCTGTAATGCGCTGTTCAGTCAAGGAGGTTGGTCACTTCCACTGCAGGATACATTTATCTACACATTATATACTGGGCATATAATATGTAAATAAATGACTTTTAGAAGAGGAATTTAACTGTTTAATTTTTCAAGGTTTTGTTTTGTTTTTTAAATTCGGGGTGTTTCTGAAATGGAGAGCCTCGCAGTTAATTTCCCTTTTTTTTTTTTTGATGCTAGTGGCTAGGTAAGTTTCCCTGTCTTCTCCCTTTCCCCAGTCACTGACTGTAGTTATGTAGGGTACGGAAAGAGTTTAGCTGCCTTCATAGCGCTCCCAGGACTAATGGCCTTCTCGAAACTGTGTTCCCATGCCAAGAAAGACACAGGAAGAAACCTATTTTCTTTTTATTACCGAGCCAGGAGCAAATGGCCTCAGCTCAGACCTGGAGAAACAGTGATAGAAATTGAATTCCTCCCTACGTGTTGACAGTAGGGATTTGAACTGGATTCTTGGGATTGCTATCTAAAAAACTGGAGCATCAAGCACTGTTTCTGTCCTGCAGCTTGGAATTTTTTTCCATAATGCTACTTACCGCCGACAGTGGCCTCTCTCCTTGTACATCCATGCCTTACACCGCGCTGCACTGGACATTGTCCTTGTGCAGAAACATCTGGCTGGCCTGGGCCAGTGCAGGTGTATGGTCCCATCCCCATCCTGGGTGACCATGTTAAGTTCCCAAAAAGTACACAGGAGGAAAATTCAGGTGTCTGCTTATCTTTGCAATGTGACAGCATTTGGAATTGCACCATGGAGCATGCTCAAAAATAGTAAACTTGTCTCTTGCTGAGACGCAAAAGGTCCATCTTCTGCTGAGAAGTGGTATGAGAGAATGCTTGGTCCTTGACTAGAACAGCGACATCATGCATTGGCTCACTGCAAACTGTCGTGTTGGTTTTTGATACAGGCTTCTTGCTGGCTTCATTTGCCAGTCGTGTTGTTTAGTTGGGAAGTAAGCAGAAAAGGGTCTTGAGATCGAGGGGTGGGTCTAGGAGGGGGACACTGGTCGATCCCTGGCTTAGGACAGTGCTCTTGGTGGCATCTCCTTTGTCAAAACATAGCCAAGATGTGAAATTAAAATCATAGTTCTCTTTATTTAAAAATTCTAATAAATACTCAAACTTTGAAAAGCTTTCACTCTTCCCTCCCACTAAAAGTGATGTATATATACATACATATAAGAGATGTAGGCCTGTGTCATTCAGTGTTCAACATTTTGGGGGGACATCTTTTGGTGAACTTAAAATTTTGCTGTCTGCTCTCAGTTTGTATCTTCTCTCCCAGTCTTGAGACACAGAATCAACAAGGAGTGCTCACAGTTTGCCTAGGATACTGTCCTACCTCTGGGAAAGGAATTCTGTCCCTAAGTAAGGGTCCCAGTGGACAGAAACAGCACCATGGGATTTGCTTCTAAATACCAACTCACTGTTCACATGGCCTACTCAGAAATGAACATATTGCTGCTTGTTGCCTGATTGAGAGCAGTCTGAGTTTCTGTCCATATAAGTAAAGGAGAAAAGGTAATAAATTCAATCAAGCACTAAGTGGAATCCAAAAAACACATTCTTCCACCTAAATTCTACCTTTATGATATGGATTGAAAGTACTTTGCAGGAAAACAGACAGGACTCCTGAAAAGAGAAATGCAGTGGTAATAGTAATTTGTGCATTTTTTCATGATCTAGAGATGTTTTTACTGGGCTGGTGTCACAACACATTACCCTCCTGAGTCCAGTTTGGGTTGATGTTGGCGTCTTTGGGTCAGGAAAGTGAACTGTGCCAAGAAGTATTTTTCAGTGACATGAATGGATCCTGTTAATGCAGTTAACTGGGGAGATTGTGCTGATGCTTTCTTAACTGACAAAAAGAGGCTTTGTCCAACACCAGAATTGCTGAAACTGGTGCTATTTTCTGTTGAAGTGGGATCCTGATGAGCAGGGATTGGTGTTTCTCCCTCCCTGGCACCATTAACACCATGGCTGTCTTCACTGGTGTGTAGTCATAGCCCTTCTGTGATAGATTACTCAGAGCCCTGGTTGCAGTGGCCGTTACCCCTCTCCACAGAAAGCAAGGAGAAAACAGAAGAAAGCACAAAAATGATCCCACTCGCAGAGTCTTTCTGGGACACTGCTTTGCCGTGAATTCTGCAAGTACTCACTTTATTCGGGCTTGACACAAACAGCTTTTTGTGTACAGCACAGATATAAAGTCTCACAGTGAATTTGCCCGTCCTAGACTCTGGTTTATTACTAGGGCATCCATCACAGTCCACCCTGCTCAGGATAGAGAAAGACAGCATTGGCTATTTTAAAATTAACTTTGTTTTTAGTTTATCAATTTGCAGCCACTGGGGAAGCATCAGTGAGGTCATGCCATATCTTTTTGGACTTAGGACTGTGTGTGTGTGTGTGTGTGAGAGAGAGAGAGAGAGAGAGAGAGAGAGAGAAGGGCTACGAGGGGTCAGCTGTATTCGATTTTTTTTGTAGCCTTCCAGAATGGTGCAGCCCATGAAACAGGAGTTTTGATTTTTCTTGTAGCAAACCTGGCAGGATGGAAAAGTTAATAAATTGACGGTTTTGTTTTTACAAGTGTCTGCTGCCCCATCTGCCCTGCGGGGAGAGGGCTCCCGCACTGCTGAGTCTGAGCTGAGGCCATCTGGAGGGATCAAAGAGTGTGGGAGGAACACCCCTTGTGAGGCCGTGGAAGCCCCTCGAAAGTGGCTGCGCTGCAGGATTTCCGCCCTCGGCATGGTGCAGCGCAGCAGGCCTTGCCTCTCGCAGCCTCTAGGGAGCAGAGCAGGTCACTGCCCTCTGGGAGGCTTTTGCAGCAGTTTTGTAAATGCGTTGCTACACAGTCAAGTTCCTTCGTGACACAATTTCTGTTTTGATGTTAGGAGTCAGTCCACGTAAGCTTAGACTTGTTTAGAAGAAAAAAAAAATCACCTTTTGTTTTGAAGAAAAAAAACGTCCACGCAGAACCGTTCTTCCTCCTCCTCCTCCTTTCTCTTGCCCACGTACAGTGCTCCTTGGAGGCCCCCTTCCCCTCTAGGACCTGTGTAACCAGAGGAGTAATCCGTCTCCCGCCAGACCCGGGTGTGCATCTCACGTTGTACTGTATGTGTTCGTCATTTCCACCCCATGCTGGAGGAATGCCTCTGTTGGTCTCCCCACCTGATCTTTTTTTAAACAGCTTAGCCTGAGCCTCATTTCTTTTGGTTCACAAAAAGGATTTAATAACCACAGCGCGATCTTTGCCGCAACTGTGTGATTTTCAGTACTTCTGAAGTGTTCTCAAAGCCCAGCCTAGTTGAGAGAAAATTTAGAATTAGAAGAAATACCTGGAGAAGTCGTCACAGGGGGCTGAATTTTTGCCTTCAGGGAAATGAGGATTAGCTATAATTGATAATCAAGCCTCGTCCTGGTCCCTTCTGCATTTCAGAAAATAACGCACATGTTTATAACAAATAGGAGACAAGTTAGCGCAAGAGGCTCTGGGGCGAGGAGATTATCTAATGGTGATTATATAATGCAGCGGCTCTTGTGGTTCTTATCCTTAAAACTCTAAAAGAGGTCAGACCTGAAGCGACACAGGTCATGCTGCCCAGCTGAGGTGACAGCCATTCTTTCTGAGCCCTGCTGGGATGGAACCCATTTCCCCAAGGCTTCCAGGCTGTGCAGCCGATGTTGGTGACCTCAGTCTTGCTCCATCCAGGCAGCCATCTCACTTGGAGCAGGTGGGAAAGCAGCCCCAGGGTCAGCCTTTGTTCTCTGGGGTGAGCCTTGCAACAGACGTCACCTTCCCGAAAGAGCTCTTTTCCACGTCACTTTAGATGTTACCCAAAGCAGACATTTGAGATGTTCAGGTAGTAAATTGGGAAGCATTGGCTGCAATCCGTAAAAGCTACTATTGTCTGTTGATTAGGTGACTGGAGATGACCCCAGGCCCTGGGAACCTGGAAGTTTTAGGCAGACTCTCATTTGGAGGCCAGCAGCCCTTCTACTTCTGCCTCTACAAAGGCAGCTTTACATTTTGACCACATTTTCGCCGTAGCTGATGACCTTTCAGGGATGTGAGAAGCCTAATCAGAACATCCGAGAAAATGATACCCCTCGCCCTCAGATTCATCCAATAGTTCATCCTCCTAATCCCCTTAGAAATTAATAAATAGAAAGAGAAAGAAAGAATGCCATTTGGTGAGGATTTGGACACACTGCTAGAGCTGAGGCTAGCAGCCGCACGATTTTGTGAGTCTGCAATATGAAGCTTTCTAAGTCCCTGGAAGCTTTATTTATAGTGAAGATTTGGTGAGCTTTTGTTGTCTGAGAAAATGAGATGGTCCCCTTGAAGGGGAGCTCCCAGGCAAGCCACATTAACTCACAATTCACACCAGGGGGATTCTGCTGGAGAAGAAAGCGCCTTTGGCCAAAAAAGCAAGATTAATATCTAAAAGGTAGACATGCATTGCTTCTGTTCCTCCAGCAACCAGTTGTTTAATCATTAGCTCTAGGTTTCCTTCGGTTTACATTCTCAGTTCTTAACCCCGCACAGAGGTCCCTAGAACACCAAAAAAGGCATTTAAAACCCTAGGGATTGGCTTTAAAAGATCCAAAAGCAGCAGCGTTGTCATTTTCCAGGTTTCTCGCCATTTTGATGTGCTGCCCATCCTTCCACACACTCTGCAGCCAGGCCAGATGTGAAGACTGTATTCACTGACTTGTGGAACCTAAATTCTAGTTCTGGAACAATTACCTGCTAAATTGCTTACTGCCTGTGGAAGTTATCTGTGGGGTGTACCTTTCAGAGAACATTTCAACAGTATAGTAAAATTGCTCTGGGCTTGAGGGCCCAGTCAGGCGTTTTAGGTCAAAACTGTAAGTCTTTGGGCCTCCTTAGGGAAAAAGCAAGATGCCTAAATCCCAGTGCTGGGCCTTGAGACCGTACTCCCCTCTCCCTAGTGTGGGGTGAAGTGGCACCCTCAGGAAATCATTTTTCCAGTGAGATTACCTATAAATCCCTAGGGGAAGTAATACCTATATGAACCTGTCTTTCTGAGCACTTTTATGCCAACTTCAAAATGGTAAGCTAAAGCAGCAATGACTCCACGTAGCCTCCACGTCACCCTCTTTATTGTCCCGTTGGCGAGGTGGGGGGAGCTTTTCAGGGTTAAACCTTGGTCTTTAACCTCTGTTGTGGAGATGTGTCACTAACAAATGAAGACCTAAAGAAGACCTCTAGTTTTTGTTTCCCTAGTCCAGTGGCATAACAGATATGACTTACTCCCGGGAAGGTAGAGGCTGATGATGATCAAGACACCTACGAACCAGAAAGATCTGTCCCACATAGAGCCTCCACAGGGAACAGATCTGAAGTTAGGTTCTGGAGAACTTCCAAAGCGCTGAAATGCAGGGAGGACTTGGAGGACCTTTGCTCAGCAAGCAGGTGGCTTGTGTTCCTCCCAAGAACACGAAGGAGCTCCGAAGGGAATGGCAGGCATTGAAGCCATAGCGCGCAGACTCAGACCTTCCCTCTGCCACTTCTCACATGGCTCGTGCACTCTTCGCTCAGAATCCAAGGGTACCCTCCTCTCCAAAATCTCATTGGCTTCAGGTGTTTTGTTTAGCCTCTGAGAACCTCCCCCTTTCACTCCCACCTCCGGATGGACAGAGATGTGTTGCTCGGGGCACAGATGCGTGAGTCCAGGGCCCAGCAGCACAGTGTTGTATTTAGTGGTTAGAAAAACAGTCGGTCCACTCTGTTAACAGGATGTGGTGCAGTTTTGTACACATCAGGTCTGTTTTTATTGTTTCATGGTCTGAAAACCTTCAAGCTGGTTTATCATCCAAGAAAAGGCAGATGGTTAGACTAAGTAACATTTAGTTCGTATCTCTGTCTTAGGAAAGGTAGCCGTCCGTTTGCTGTGTGCTTAAGGAAGTCAGGAGTATTTGAGGATGTTGGGAGCTGTTGTAAAAATAAAGTGGCTCTGGCCTACCCAAGTGTATCAGAGAGAGAGCGTGGAAGCCGGTTAGTAGCATCTTTAAATCTGCTCTGGCCAGCCCCTCCTTCATCTCAAGGACCTTGTCTCTCCTCCTCTCCAGTGACCTTGGTAAGGGACGAGCTCTGAGGAGGCAGCGAGGCCCCAGCTCCTCTTTGCTCAGCTGCAGGATGTGGCCTCCAAACAGTCTGAGGTTTTTTTAAGGGGTTTCCTCACCATGATTCCCTCCACGTCACTCACCTGCCGTCAGCATCCGAAAAGGTTAAAATCCCCGGGACCATTCCAGTTCTAAAACAGATGAACCAGATGTGCTTCCTCCCCTTTTGCAAGTGTATTGTCCAGATGCAGTCTCCCTTTGGCCAAGTTTGACAGGTACTTCCAGGGAACCCCTTAAATTGAGGCAAGGAGTCAAGATGTTTTGAGTTTTCCCCCCAGAAGGCAGAGTCTTTGTCCCTTCCCCCTCATGCCTCATATATTTTAGCCAAGTCTCAAAAGGTCAAGTCTGGTAATGTCTCCAGAACTGAGGTGAGAGCTGGGGTCCCATACCCCCAGGGACCAGTCCCCTGGGGGATCCCACATGCTCAAACTAGATTGTTCTGATCCCACTGGAAGTTTGCTGCTGTCCCCGTCCGCTAGGGCCCCTCAGAAAGGAAACAACCTAGGCTTCCAGTCATTAGGTCACCAAGTCCTTCGGTGACCAGTCTACAGAGTGTGTATCACCTGCGTGGGTGGTGTGCCTCCCACTTGTAGAAAGGGTAGAAAGTGGAACATTGAGTGGGCTGAGTACTCACATCCTTGGAGAGGTTGGCAGAAATAACCCCAGTGAGTGCAAAACAAAACCGAGGAAACCAAGGAACCACATTTGTACGGGAGGAGTTGGTTATGGTCCTTTTACCTCTTGGGACCTGACGCTGCAGTATGAAAGTGGGGTTTGGAAAATCACGCTTAGCCCAACCCAAATGCATTCCAGGACTTCGGAGCTTCCAGCCCATGGGTGCATGGTCTGTTCCCATTTTTTGTTTGTTTCCAAAACAGCCTTGCTTGGTATTGCATGGAAAGTTCTGGTTTTCCTTCCTGCCCACTTGGGGCCACCCACCCAGGCCTGGTCCCTTCCCCAGTATCTTCACAGTACTCCTAGGAAGACCTGCGCAGTGCCCTTAGGAGCCGAGGGGAGTGGAATTTGGTCCGGAGAAGGCAGCAGAAACTGGATTTTCCTGTTTCCTCTTCTCAAGGAGGGTGTTTTTAGGCTTCCTTCACGCCTCTCTTTCCTGTGGGTACAGTCGGGTTGGGAGGAAGGGCTGAAAAGAAAAGGAAACGGGGTCCAGCCAGCCCAGGTTTGGGTCCGGGACAGGTGCACAGCTGATGCTCTTCCACCCCCTTCAGTAGCAGGCCAGTCATATGTAACAATTCTCCTTTACGAAAGCGTCTGCTTCTGTGGTGCTAGCAACAGAGGACAGACAGACCCCCTCCCCTGTGCTTTCCCTAAAGTTCATCCCTGTAGCCCACTCCTTGTTGTAAAAACAAGTGCTTAATCCTGTGAGCGTGCTGTTCCTTTCTATGTGTTAATCAGTTTCCTTCCATTGGAGCTGTGTGGGAGGGAAGGGCATTGGAATTGTAGGTTGTAATCTTGTGCCAACCAATAAAAACCAGTATTTCACACACATCCCTGCTTAGTGTCTGGTCTCTTCTTTCTCGAGGTTTTCCTTGAGTCCTTCACATCAGTCTTATTTTGATTTTACCCCCACTCTCTGGTGAGGTCTTGAGAGTTGCCCTAAAGGTAGGTCAGAGGTGGCCCTGTGGATGATCTGCTGTTCGGGGCTTTCAAGTGAGAAGTGAATGGGAGAAGCCCACGGCAGGGAGTGAGACTCAGTGTTTGTTGCCGCTGGCTGGCCCTGCTGCCGGGTACCCAGGGAGACTCGGGTGGCGCTGAGAGGGCCTGCCCCCCCTAAGCCAGTCAGGCTTTCCTCGGAGCCCACAGGGACACGAAAGGGACAGAGTTGAGCCACATCCAAGATGATACGAGAGCACAGCCAGACGTTGTTTTCCCACATGGGAGCAGGAGGTGGGCATGGTAAGATCAGGAAGCCTTGTGTCCCATCCTTTCCAGTGACTTTGGTCGGGAACCGTGTTTTGAAGATGTGTAGTGGTAGGACTCGCAGCCAGAGAAGACCAGGCAGATCACCATCGGTGGGAGGGCAGCACTGAGTGACTTGGGAGACAACATGTTGAGCTGTCGTGAAAAATAAAGCATGATGAGGCTAAATTTTGGAAGACTACGAAAGCCAGGCCAGGGAGCTGGGCTTCATACCTGTGAAGCATTCTTGAACAAGGTAAAGATAGTCCTGTAATATCAACCATGTTTGAGGAGGAGGCAGCGGGAAAGGTTGGGAGAGAAGTGGTTTGGAAGCTCATGATACCCTGTGCATGAGATGATCCGGACTCAGGGTAAATGAACCTGGGGATGAAGAAAGGGATATAGAAGCAGGAATAAACAGTGTATCACAATCAGATAAACATGTCCATCCACTAAGGGAGGCTGGCCTTCCTGGGATTCTGGTGGCATCACCAGTGGCCAAGTTGTGGTAAGCCAACAAACCTGATACAGTCAGTGTACCCAGAGGGTCACTACCAGGATGAGACTCACACGAACCTAACTCATAAGAGACTGAGATGGACATGCCTGGATGACAGTTGGCTCTTTTGTATGATGACAAATGTCAGACCAAGTTAACCTGGCTAGTGCACTGGCTATCAGTGTGAGTAGCCAAAAATAGGAAGTTGGCTGCTAAACAGTAGTAACCTGATGACTTCATTCCACCACAGGACAGATGCCCTACCAGCTGGTCAGGGCGCCCTTTCCCCCTGAACTCTGATTCTGCAGGCCTCCTTTGTCCATCCTATGATGATCCCCCCCTCCTTTATCAAAGGATTCTTTCTTTTGCCAGATTTAGTGTGCATAATGAGGCCATGAGCTTATAAATGCTGACACAAGTGATGTGCTATACTTAGGAAACTACCAGATGGCAATCTCTAGTTGGGATCTGGGGTTCCCAGAACTCTCCACTCGCCCGTGTCCGATGATGATAGGCCATTGTGCAGGTGTCCCATCCCCATCACATTTACTACATATCAATTGCTCCCCCATCCAACTCAGAGGGTAAGTGCAGGCTTTAGGATTGTCTTGCTGCAGCCCAGGCTTCCAATAGCCTGTAGGACTTGTGGCTACAGAGAGAGAGGTCTAAAGAGTCCCCAAAACTTGGAGTATGGGTGAGGAGAGGAAATCAGCTCAGAGGCCACCAGCGCAGCTGTGACGCTGCTGGAACCGGCAGCAGGGACAGTTGGCCACAGCACACATTGCGATGCCCGCACCCTTTGTTAGGCTGAATGACAGCTCTGAGCATCCAAGCCAGACGAAGTTGGCACAATTCTTGCTCATCCTCCAGTCAGGCTGGCTCCCATCCCTCTAGAGACCTGATCATTGTGCCCAAGACAGCCTGGCCTTGTAAGCCATGGCCTTGTTTGCTTTCTGGTTTCAGACACATTTGGGGTGTGAAAGGTCTATTTTCTCTCCTAGGTCTTGTGACAGCCAGCTAGCATCTCAGCATCTGAGGATGCAGCCATGTGGCTCCATGTTCTATGTCCTGAATACCAGCAACGTGCTAAACCCAGGACACACAGTCCTCACAGAAGCACCTGCTTGGGTGACAGATGGCGCAAAACAGGAGAGATTACAGCCTGGGGAGGTAAGCCACTAGAGGTCAGGTGAGAGGGGACAAGGGGGAGAGCTCAAGCAGGAGGACCATAGGAGCGTGGGAGAGTAAGGGAACTGGAAGAGGGAGGAAGGACCGTCCTACTTCGAAAGGCTGCCTGCTAGAATAGAAGGTGTGAGCATCACAGTTAGACCCCGGTTCGGGTCTCAGCTCAGCTGTTTGCCAGGCTCTGTGATCTTGGACAGGGTACTGTCCCCGTTCCCTCCTGTTCAGTGGGGCAGAAGTCCACTTGTCGTGCTTGCTGTGAGCATTAAATGAGCGGAGGAATGTGTGTGATGTCAAAATTGCTGTGTGATCATTCAGTGGTAGCTGTGAGCAGACACCTCGGGGATGGCCAGGGGCAGTGCTGAGTTCACTAAGTGACAACAGAGACAGATAATCACAGTGCAGAGTGACAAGTGCGATCAAAAGAAGGCTGACGGAGGGACTGCCTCCTTCCCAGAGGAGCCATCCTCATAAAGGATGCAGAGGAATGCAGGAGTTCTCAGCAAAGGGAACAGCATTGCCAGGCTAGGGCACAGCACTGTGCTCATGTAACAGCAAGTGTGCTGGGGCTGGAACATGATACTGAGAGTGGGCAGGGAAGAGAGAGGGGCAGGAGGGGCCACAGAAGGTCAGCCGGGGTCAGGTGGCTTGGCAGGCTGTTTGAACTCTACTCCGGACGACTGGGAAGCCAACAGAGGTTTTAAAACAGAGCAGTGACTGCGTCGGGTTGGACATTTGAGGAAGATGATACTACTAAGCGTGGTCCTTGTGTTCCAGGCCTTAGCACCAGGCAGTGTGTTGACGGCTTTACATTTAGTCTCTGCATCCCTGTGATGCATAGGACCTGTGATCATTACCTTGTCTGGTAACGGGAATGGAGGCTTAGGGAAGCAGACTACTTTTGAAGGGAATTGGACAGACTAATTCGAAAAAATCATAGGGTCAAGTGCCAAGAATGTCTAAAGATAATTTTGAAAAACTCCAAGGGAAAATATAGGACTACAAGGGAAGTCCTGTGTTCTATCAGCATCAAGTCTTAATACTGGGGGTGCCCGGCTGGCTCAGTCTGAAGAATGTGCAACGCTTGACCTCGGAGTCATGAGTTTGAGCCCCACGTTGGGTGTAGAGATGACTTAAATAAATAAACAAACCTGAAAGAAAAAGAAATCAGGTGCCATAAAATAAAAGACTTCATAGAAAGATAGAGTCACTAAAACAATGTGATAGAGAAATAAAAGAGAAAATAGAACGGGGGACCAAGGAACAGACCCATGCACATGTGGGAAGATGTTAAAAGCCAGAGGAAATGTGCACCGGGGTGGGGAGAGGCTGGGTTCCTCAGTAAATGGTGTTGGAACAACCGACTAGTCAAATGGAAAAAAAATAAAATTAGCTCCTTACCTCACAACATACTTGAAAATAAGTTCACCAAAGTAAAATGAGTCCTAAAACTTTTAGAATAAAATACAGAAGTTAAGTAATGTATCTGAGGTCACACAGGTAATAAATGGAGAAACTGTATGTAGTTGAACCTGAGAGGTCTGGTGCCAGAACCTTGCCCTCTAACCCACTCAGTAGTACTCTGTCCTGGTCACTTTAGAGCCCCGCCCACATTGGGTATAGAGATGACTTCCAAAATAAAATCTTGGGGCGCCTGGGTGGCACGGTCAGTTAAGAGGCCGACTCTTGGTTTCGACTCGAGTCTTGATCTCAAGGTCACACACTCACAACCCCGAGATCAAGAGTCTCATGCTTTACTGACTGAGCCAGCCAGGCTCCCCTGAAGATATCTTTTTAAAAAAATAGTTATCCTGCTCTGGCCACCAAACACTATCCCCTTTTCATCACTGCATTACTCATTCATGCACCATTATTTACGCCCATCTTTCTGGTCCCCGTGTTCTTCCCCTGCAGCGTCCCTGTAGAATTCCATCCCTGACTTAATCCATTCATTCCTGTACCGCACTTTGCAAGAGCTGCGCCTGCCCAGAGAATACTAGATACCATGGGCTCATGCCTCCCCTCCACTGAGCCTCCAGTGCCACCCATCCTTGCCCAACAGGCCACTTTTCTTGACGTCTCATCCGACCCCTCCCTTCTCCCATTGATGTCCCCAGCGATACTTCTGATTCTCCTCCCACCCAGAGCTTTCAGAGTAGAGTTCCAACTCCTTAGATTAGCACCCAATATCTTTTGTGATTTGGCCCCTGCCCATCTCTGCAGACTCTTTTCCTGCCACCGACCTTGCCCTTCTCTTCCCCTGATCTCCTCGAGCTTCTTACAGTTCTCCAAATGCATCACACACCATTGCACAACTCCACAGCTCACATGTGCTCTGCCCTCCTTTGGGAAAGATCTGGGAGATTCTCTCTCCTCGGCAGGGTTGTGGAACTCCTGTACATGCCCTCATTCCAAAGGCACCCTCTAAGGTGGGGAGACTATCTCTCTGTTCTTGGTGTCCAGCTGAGTGGCTCAGAGCAGGTACCTAGGAAATGTGGGTTGGAGGAAGCAAAGGGCCCAATGATGTTTTGGGAATGTACCCAACACAAGGAAATGTATCCCTAATGTCACCCTGTACTCTGGACAGCTTTACCAGCCACACCCACGCCCCTTCAACTTTCCCCCAAACTGGGAAGGAAGCCAGTGCAGGCCTGCCCTCAGGGATCTGGGGAGAAGTTCGGAACAGGGGGAGGAAGAGCACTATAGTAGTCTCTTCCCTTTGGGATAAGGGTGGTGTTCAACCAGCATAGCCCTTTCCCCACCTTTCTCTTCCAGTCTTGAGTTTGTGGGTTGGGGGGGAAAGGGGAAGGTGCTTCTTCAGGGGGAGGAAACCCCCCATTCCTGCTATTCCCCTTCTCCCTCAGCCCAGGATCCTGTGAACTTTCCCGGATCTAGGGCAGGACCTAAT